GTGGGGCCACAGGAGAGACATGTACATGGCCATCACACACTACAGCTCACTGCCCTCAACACATACACACCACACAGCCTCCCCATATACACAGTCACCTCACACCACACAGGCACCACACACACAATCCCTAATACACACACAGCCCCAACACACACAGCCCTCAATACACATTACCCCACAGCTCCCTAATCATACTCAGGCGGCCCTCCCCATAGACACATAGCTCCCTCAACACTGCACACAACCCACAATACACACACAGTGCCCTACCACATACAGCCCCCCAATATGTACAGACAGACATAGGTGCCGGAGGATACACACATTCCAAATACACAGGTGTGTAGATCTACAGACAGACCACTCCTGTCTTCTTATCCAGATTCTCCACCCCATTCCCCAACCTTCATTTCTTTCTCCTGTGTTTCTCTTTCTCTCTCAGCACACACATACCCCTCAGATGACAATAGACCAGGCACCACACCTCCTAGAACAACTTGTGGCTTGAGATTCCCTGGAAACAGCAAGATCTCAGCTATCCCAGACAGCTCCTGAAAGAGCCCTCTTTGCTGTGCGCTGACCATCAGAGGTCAATGAGGCTTCCCTAGGACAGGCCTGAAGGCACTAGGACATTTCAGAAGGGGCTTTTATTCAGACTCTAAGGAGGGAATACCTCACAAAAAGGGACAGCAGGGAAATTCAGAACACAGGTTTCTGACTCAAACAATCATCCATAAGTGACTGCTTTCTTTCTAGGCCTCAGACCTGGGGGTGACCCTGCTGGCTTCCCTGGGAGCATCCAGTCTCATTCATATCTATCTATCTATCTATCTATCTATCTATCTATCTATCTACCTACCTATCTATCTATTTGAGACAGAGTCTCACTCTGTTGCCCAGGCTGGAGTGCAATGTCACAATCTCAGCTCACTGCAACCTCTGTCTCCTGGGTTCAAGCGATTCTTCTACCTCAGCCTCCTCAGCTGGGACTACAGGCATACACCACCACACCCAGCTAATTTCTGTATTTTTAGTAGAGACAGGGTTTCACCAGATCAGCCAGGCTGGTCTCGAACTCTTGACCTCATAATCCGCCTGCCTCAGCCTCCCAAAGTGCTGGGATTACAGGTGTGAGCCACTAGGCCCAGCCAGTCTCCAATATTATATTGAAGTCCCCTTTGACCTCATCTTTCCAGTCTCCCCCTCAAAAGGCTGCCTCAGCAGGCTACTGTGGAGGAACCTATAGCTGTGTCTCCTGTGGGTATTGCTTGGTTCATTAATTAATTCATTCATCAGTTATTAATTCAAAAAAAACATGACTGAGTGCCTTTTCTGTGCCAGCTCTTTGCTTGACCTGAGAGTTACAGTGATGGACAAGAGGTACACAGTCCCTGCCCCATGAAGATTATTACAGTGTGAAGCAGGGCATCCGATAGAACCTTCTGTGATGGTGCAAGTGCTCTGTATCTTCATGGTTCAGTATGGTAGCCATTAGCTGCATGTGGCTACTTAGCACTTGAAATGCAGCAAGTGTGACTGGAGAACTGATTTTTTTTTTTTTTTTTTTTTTTTTTTTTTTTTTTTTTTGAGACGGAGTTTCGCTCTTGTTACCCAGGCTGGTGTGCAATGGCGCGATCTCGGCTCACCGCAACCTCCGCCTCCTGGGTTCAGGCAATTCTCCTGCCTCAGCCTCCTGAGTAGCTGGGATTACAGGCACACACCACCATGCCCAGCTAATTTTTGTATTTTTAGTAGAGACGGGGTTTCACCATGTTGACCAAGATGGTCTCGATCTCTTGATCTCGTGATCCACCCGCCTCGGCCTCCCAAAGTGCTGGGATTACAGGCTTGAGCCACCGTGCCCGGCGCTTGAAAACTGATTTTTAATTAATTCAGTTAATAATGTAATTGTGGCTAATGGCCACTGTGTTGGCCAGCACAGATCTAGCCGGCAGGTTAGTCTTCAATTTGTTAAATGGGAGAGGATATACGTGAAGGAACTCCCTCTTCCTTCCAGAGCTATTGAGGTGCAGGTGTGGGGCCTCTGAGCACTGGCATTTCTCTTTTGGACCACCAGTTTCCTACCCATTCTAAGAATGCAACCCACGCACACATGCATAACACAAAAACCTGTGTCCCTAAAGCAGGTTCATTCTTAAAACTAGGTGAGTGATTTTTCATGCAAGAGTAATAATTGCGTTTATTATTTATTTCATTCCAAGCACTATTTGCATATATTCTAAGTCTTATCAGGGGATCATGCATTCAGATGCCAGTAGGGGCAGGAGGAGTTGGGAAGATAACAGGGAGGGGAGAGTTCTAGAACAACTGGAAAGGAAGGCTTCTTTTTTTTTTCCTTTCTTTCTTTCTTTTCTTTTTGAGACAGAGTTTCACTCTTGTTGCCCAGGCTGGAGTGCAATGGCGCGATCTTGGCCCACTGCAACCTCTGCTTCCCAGGTTCAAGGGATTCTCCTGTCTCAGCCTCCTGAGTAGCTGGGATTATAGGCGCCCACCACTATGCCCGGCTAATTTTTGGTGCTTTTAGTAGAAATGGGGATCACCATGTTGTCCAGGCTGGTCTAAAACTCCTGACTTCATGATCTGCCTGCCCTGGCCTCCCAAAGTGCTGAGATTACAGGTGCAAGCCACCGTGCCCAGCCAGGGAAGGCTTCTTTAAAGGATATAGTTCCTCAGCCTTGGAGACTGTTGCCATGTTGGAGTGTGAGTCAGTGATGCCAAGTTGTCTGACTTTTAAAGAGCAACCAAAAATATTGATTTGTATTTGAAATTCATTGGAAAGTACTTAAACTTTTTTTTAAAGAAACAACCTAACTGGGCAGATGATCAAGTGACAAATGTGAAAGGATAGTCACTGCAGCTTTGTTTGCAAATTAGAAGTAATCTAGCCGGGCGTGGTGGCTCAAGCCTGTAATCCCAGCACTTTGGGAGGCTGAGGCGGGTGGATCACGAGGTCAAGAGATTGAGACCATCCTGGTCAACTTGGTGAAACCCCGTCTCTACTAAAAATACAAAAAATTAGTTGAGCATGATGGCTCGTGCCTGTAATCCTAGCTACTCAGGAGGCTGAGGCAGGAGAATTGCCTGAACCCAGGAGGCGGAGGTTGCGGTGAGCCAAGATCGCGCCATTGCACTCCAGCCTGGGTAACACGAGCGAAACTCCATCTCAAAAAAAAAAAAAAAAAAAAGAAGAAGTAATCTAAATGTCCACAGCTAGGAGCCTGGTTACATGACTTACAACATGTCTATTCAAGGGAATACTGGGCAGCCTTAACTAAGAGTGCAGTGTCTTTTCATATATAGAGATGGAAAGAGCTCCAAGATAAATTAAGTTTATTTACATTGGAGCTCTTTTCGCACGCGCGCGCGCGTGTGTGTGTGTGTGTGTACATGGAACAATGCGTAAGGTATCATTCATGTGAGAGAAAAGGAGAGCACACACACACGTACCTGCATAGACTAGCTCTGGAAAGCGATTGCCTTAAAGAATGGGGCAGAGGTGGAAGGAGGAGTGTTTTCCCTGTTTCTCCTTTGGCATGTATAGACTTTTGCACTAACTGCATGACTTACCTATTTACAGTGCAGGCTGAGCAAACCTGGCTACAGGCCTGTGATGGCTTCTGAGCCACATGTGCATAAACGCTGATAGGCTGCCCTTTGAAGTAGGTGTGAATGACTCTTACATAGATGAGGAAGCTGAAGCTCATTTGGATTAACGTTGTGTGGCTGTTCAAGTTTATTCAACCGGTTAGTGGTGAAGCTTCCGTTTTAACCAGGCCCCTCTAACTCACAGGCCAGAACACCACACTGCCTCTTTCCAAAAGAGGGGAGGAATCAGAATGATAGCAACATCACTGTCATCAATGACAGTATTTATAGAGAACTTGTTACCGGCCAGGAACTGAGATAAATATTTCAGGTCACGTTATGAACCTTATGAATTAGACACCATTATTATCCCATTTTACAGATGAGGAAGCTGAGGCACAGAGGTTAATTAAGCTGCCCAGTATAACTGGGCAGGAAGTGGTAGAGCTGAGGGCTTTACCTGGGTATTATAACTCCAAACTTACCCTGGTCCTTCCTTAACCATTGCATTCCACATAGACAACTCTATGTCCTTTTTGTCTCCCACTACAGGCTCATCCCCAAAATGCCCTGTCACACCTCTCTGGGCCTGCCACGAATGTAAACTGATTTCTCTGGTGTGGATCTATGTACACATGTATTTGCCCAAACACACATGTGCAGCACTGGAGCAGATGCCTGTGGGGGACAGACTTCCTGTGTCCTCTTCTGTAGTGAGGAGAAATGGATAGGTAACCCCCAGCAGAGTTCCTTCAGATTCCTTGTGACGCCCCTTCCTAATTATACCCTTGTATTGACCCATGCCCCAGAGCAAATGGAGTTGCTAAATGAAAGATGAAAGTTCTTGACTCCAGGGCCTCAGGTATTAACAATACCAAGTATTTCTAGAGAAAATCTCTCTCTCTCCCCCACTCCCCCTCTCTCTCAGAGACGGAGTTTCACTCTCGTCACCCAGGCTGGAGTGCAGTGGCACAATCTCAGCTCACCGCAACCTCCGCCTCCCGGGTTCAAGCAATTCTCCTGCCTCAGCCTCCCAAGTAGCTGGGATTACAGGTGCCACCAGCACACCCCAGCTAATTTTTGTATTTTTAGTATAGATGGGGTTTCACCATGTTGGCCAGGCTAGTCTTGAACTCCTGACCTCAGGCAATCCACCTGCCTCAGCCTCCCAAACTACTGGGATTACAGGCGTGAGCCACCGCGCCCAGCTGAGAAAATCTCTTTTGATTATCTTAACACCCTGTTAAGGAAAGAAGGACAGGATTAGTATTGCTCTTTTGCGGATGAGGCAACTGAGGCTCACGCATCACATCACATCACATCACATCACAAACACAAACACACAGACACATGCACACACATACTTGTAAGCAATAAAAATCTATTGTGGGTCTGTAGGGTGGTACGCGGGTGAGAAGGTCCCGGTGCGCACCCGCTCCCAGCGCGTCTGGTCACCATGCCTCGGAAAATTGAGGAAATCAAGGACTTTCTGCTCACAGCCCGACGAAAAGATGCCAAATCCGTCAAGATCAAGAAAAATAAGGACAATGTGAAGTTTAAAGTTCGATGCAGCAGATACCTTTATACTCTGGTCATCACAGACAAGGAGAAGGCAGAGAAACTGAAGCAGTCCCTGCCCCCCGGTTTGGCAGTGAAGGAACTGAAATGAACCAAAACACACTGATTTGACCTGTATTTTAATAAATACTAAAAATCCAAAAAAAAAAAAATCTATTGTGTCTTGGTAACATGCTTGGGACTAGAGGACATTATGCTAAGTGAAATAAGCCAAGAATAAAAAGTTAAACATTGCATGTTCTCCCTCATATGTGGAAGCTATAAAAAGTTGATCTCATAGAAGTAAAAAGTAAAACAGAGGTTATAGAAGCTGGATAGGGAGGGATTTGTTAAAGAACTCAAAATTCCAGCTGGATAAAAGGAATAAATTCTAGCGCTCTATAGCACTGCAGGATGACCATATTCACAATAATATATATTTTCAAGCAGCCAGAAGAGAGGATATTGAATGCTTCCAATGCAAAGAAACAATAAATACTCGAGATGACAGATATATTAATTACCTTGATCTGGTCACCATACATTGCATGTATATATTACTATGTATACCATAAATATGTACAATGATTATGTCCACTAAAAAAATAAAAAGAACAAAACTGGAAAAAAAAAGATATGTGTTGTGGTGGGAATTAACAGAGTCATTCCATTTTTCACGTCAATGCCTCCAAGTCCCTGTCCCAATGAAGGAGCCATGGGGGAATCATTTACACAGGGGCCCTAAGCTGGAGATGGAGGGAGACAGCAACAGAGGCAAAGAGGTAACGGAAGAACCATGGTCTTTGAGCAATAACTCATCCCACTGGTGGCCTGAGTTCTGTGGCTAAGACGGTGGCTCAGTGTGGCTCAAGGGCTGGTGTAGCTTTCTGTGCATGAGGACATGTGTATATACCACTGGCTCTCAAGGCACCAAGTTCCTGCACAGTGTCCCTTCCATCACAACAACCTTGTCCTCCTGCCAAACCTGGCCAAAGAGCAAATGAACAGGAAGACCCAAAAGATTCTCAATCTGCCCCTCAATCCCCTCAGCCACAGGCCTAGATCCCTTGTACTAGCCCCAACCCTAAAGCATGAGTAAGGAAGAACAAGAAAGCAGTTATTGAGGGGACATTCCCATCCCCCACCCCCTGCAAGTGATCATGGTTGTGTTGGCAAAACACAGGCTCTGGCAGGATCCAGAATCTTGGAGGGTTGGGGGCAGCCAGAGGCAGTCTGAGATATATGGATGGCAAACCTGGCGACAGGGTGATCAAGCAGGCCTTCCCTAAAGCCTCAAGCATGACCTCTGAGAAATTTGTAACGTACTGGCTGTGTGCATGGCACTGTTCTAAGCACTTCAGACAAGTGTGTTAGTTTCCTATTGCTGCTGTAATAAGTTATCAAACATTTGGTGGCTTCAAACAACACAGCTGTTACCATATGTTTCTTGAGTTCAGAAGTCTTAAATAGGTTGCCAGGGCTTAGTTCCTTCTGGGGGAGAATTTACTTTTGTGGAGGCTAAAGCAACTCCATTTTGGATGCTAATCTGCCATGTTGACTTCTGATTAACCCCAGTTCCGGAAAGGCTGCTAAGATTTCCAGTTTAACTATTGGTCTTTGGGAAAAGCAGGTACTTACTATAAATTCTGCCCTTATGTCAAACAACATTGATATTATCATACTTCATTTGTCCCATATATCCCTTCTGAATCATGCATATAAGCCCGGGGTGTTGGGGGTAAAGGCACGGGGATCCACCATCTCCTGTCACTGCTGCCTGAGATACAGACATGGCTTCTGTTTATATGTCCCTATCAAATGTTTCATTCTAAGAAATAGGATTTGTTAGCCTCTTTCCTTGGCCTCTCAATTTCCTCAGACTTTGGGGGTAGGTTTGAATAGATCTGCCCCCCATGAAATAGTTTCTTTGCCTTTTCCACAGTCTAGAAGCTACCCACATTCCTTGGCTCATAGCTACATCATTCCAATCTCTGTTTTTTTTCTCACATCTCCTTTGACTCAGATATTCTTGTTTCCTTTATAAAGGATTTTTGTGATGACACTGGGCCCATCTAAATAATGCAGGATAATCTCCTCATCTCAAGATTGTAAAAACTAATCACAGCTGCAAAATCCCCTTTGCCATGAAAGTAGCATATTCATAGGTTTTGGGGATTAGAATGTGGACATTTGGGGGAGCAGCCATTATTCTGCTTATCACAGTAACTATTAACTCATCTAATTCTAATAATAACTCTGGGAAGTAGGCACTATTACTATCTCTATCTTGCAAATAGGGAAGCTAAGACAGACAGAGGTTAAGTTGTTTGCCCAAATTGTACACTTAGTACATGACAAAGGTACAACATAATCTGCTTTCAGAGTCTATGAGCTTAACCACCATACTACAAGTATTTAGAAGCTGATAGAAATAAATGCTCTGTTTCTGCACCTGCAGACGCCCTACATACTCAGACATCTCAGACAATGTCTGTGTATTTTTTATACATATATACACATGCCTTTCACATATATGTATTCTGCTTAAACACATATGTGCTACAGACACATGAATATAAACAAAATGCCTGGACACACATATCCAAAAACATCCCTTCTGCCCACATACATTCACACTGTACACATACACATGCCCTACACACACTCATTTATATACATTATCTCACACACAGTCTATGCATAAATACATATTCTGTGCACACAACCAACACATTATATATATTTCTTTCTTTCTTTCTCTCTCTTTCTCTCTCTCTCTCTCTTTTTGAGACAGTCTTGCTCTGTCGCCAGGTGCCAGGCTGGAGTGCAGTGGCGCGATCTCAGCTCACTGTAACCTCTGCCTCCCGGGTTCAAGCGATTTTCCTGCCTCAGCCTCCCGAGCAGCTGAGACTACAGGCACATGCCACCACACCCATCTAATTTTTGTATTTTTAGTAGGGACGGGGTTTCACCATGTTGGCCAGGATGGTCTCGATCACTTGACCTCGTGATCCGCCAGCCTTGGCCTCCCAAAGTGCTGGGATTACAGGCTGCTACCACGCCCGGCCTCTTTTTGTTTTTTATTATGGCCTGTGACACAGCCCTCAGGAGGTCCTGAGAACAGGTGCCTCCATATTATACTTTGATACTATTTAAACATCCTGTGTTCACAACCACATAATGCCCTCTGATATATACATCTTGCACGCACACACACATGCACACAGAATGAGGCAAACATACATCCTCTTTATAAACACATCTTGCAAAAAGATATATAATGTGCCAGCAATGGCATATATATCCTGTACATGAATACACCATGACACACATATATTCAGCAAATGTCTATGCTATCCAGACATGTATCTTACCCACACAGAAATTCTGTGCATACACACATATATCCCACATGAAGACTCGCTTGGTATACATGTATATTATGAACACACACCCTTCATCTCAAAACACCATGCCCCATGCATATCCTATTTACATACACCTTTACAAACCATGCATATGTTTTCAAGTGCTATACACATACATACAGAGACCCCGGATACACATATCCAGCACATGCACACATATATACACAAGCTTCAATAGATGTCACAGACAAATCCCACAATTATAGAAATGTATAACCTATTTGACAGATCTAAATCCATGCTGAATTCTCTGCTTTAATCAGCGCTTCTCATGAAAGATAACCTCGCAAGTACCCAGCCCTGTCTGAGGTTCTGATGGCTTCCTCGGGCATTCCCCAGCGCTGGACCGGGTTGTGCCCATTTTCCCGGGGAGGAGGCCGAGGCGGGCGGGGGCGGGGCTAGGCCGGGGCCGCCGACCCCGCCCCTCCCGCGGAAGAGGTGTGATCAGCCCCCGGCGCGTATCCCTCAGCCTCCACAGAAAAGTAGTTCCAATCCCATGTTTGTTAACTAGGTTATCTAGGCTGTGGAAGATTTTAATGTTGAATTTTATAGCTTTACCACGCTCTGCCGTCCTTGTGAATATTGTAATATTGCATTTTTTACAAGTTACTCTTCTGTTAATGTTCCAGCTAGTAACTTTTATAATCCTCCTCAATGAAATTTTTTTGTATTCTTCCGCACCGTTAACCCCAATGGCGGCGCCTCGGCCCCTGGCAGGAGGCAGATACGAGATGAATTCCTCTTTAATCAGAAATAATAATAATAAAAACACACACGCGGCTCCGCTGCTTCTCGCTCCGGCTTCCCTCGCCGCCGCCGCCTGTCAGGGCCGCCTGCGGACCCTGCGGCCTAGGCCCAGGGCAGCTCCCGACAGACGGCGCGGGCGGCGCAGGGCGGGCTCGCGCTTCCGGCCGCCGGGCGCCCTGGGCGGCCGCTCCCCGACGGCCCGGCTCCCGGACGCCGAATCTCTTCCTGACCCAGCTCTTCAGCCTCGGGCGCGCGCACACTCTCTCTCTCTCTCTTTCGCGTCCGTCTTCCAGCCCGTGTCCATCAGTCTGGGCCTCGTCGCTGCTGACGCGGCCATTCACACTCCCTGGCCGGCCTTTACATCCGCCTCTTCCTCCCCGACCCCGCTTCCTTGGTCTCTGTCTCTGCCCTCTCCACGCCTTCCTCTGTTGTGGATGTCCTTCTTCCTCTGTCTTGCTTTCCTCTTTTCCATCTCTTTATCCTCCATATTTCCGGCCTCTACATCCCCGCCTCCGCTTTTCTTCCCTGAAAGCCCTAAGTCTCTTGGGGTGGGGAATAGGGAGTTTCATGGGATGGACTGGTCCCTGGTGACTGAAATGGGCTTTGGGACCAGGTTGTGGCTGGGCTGGGATTGGGGTACGTTTGGAACTGCCAGGTGAGGGGAGCATGAGAGAGGGTGATGGTTCTCTAGCCATGCAAAGGGAAGAGGTCAGCTGGGGAGGCGGTGGTATCCAAGGGTTGCAGGGTGAAGGCCAAGTCAGAGGGGCCTAGCTTCTGGGGCCTGGGGAGAGAAAGCAGCTTGGCCAAAGGAGCCCTGGTTTAGTGTCAGACACACTCTTGCCCTGGGATTCCTTCTACCTAAAGGAAAGATCCACCATGGAGGTGGGCGGGGCAGTGGGGGTGCCGGTAGAGCAGACTGTTACCTAGAAAGAGGGCTGCAGTTGGGGAGGAGCCTTGATATAATGGAGTGCTGTACGCATGCTTTTATACTGGGGTGA